TTACGAAGCCCATGAGGTAATTACCCGTCACCGTCTTTTCCGCCGTACCCTTCCCCCATCCCTCAACGCACCCACCGCTTCATTCCCGAATCCACAGTCGACTTGCACTGTAAGGATGAGCGACTTTCCAAGGTTACCCTTGCATCCGCTTCCCCGTCGGCCCATCCTTGGCCGCTTTCGCTGGCCGCGCCCCGCTCGCAAAGTGTCGGCATGGCCTTCCAGGGCCCTTGCATCCTTGTCGTGCGTCCTGATTACACAGTTTGAGTGCACTTCGAATCCCCCGAGAAGCCTCCAGACCCTCCCATGCCCCTCGATGATCGGAGCCCCTCGCGAAGCCCACTGTGAACCCCACCATCAAAAAATCTCCTCACCCTGCTCTGCCTCACCCGCCCCTCCGCCTCCCCCCCTCCCCAACTTCCCCCAAAAATCTCCCAGCACCCCTGTAGGACCACTTAGGGAGCCCTAGAACCCCAAGCATCCCCCAGTCCGACAACATCCGATGCGACACACCTAGAACACATCAGCGAGAGGCTCTGGCAACATCTGGGAAGCCATCAAAAACCCCAAGTCCCCTGCAGCCTCCCGCAATCCCCGAAAGCCTGTACCTTCTTCTCCTCCTCCCCTCCTTCCCATCCCCCTCCCGCAGCCCCCTCAAGACGGGCCCCTGAAGACGGCAGCACCGATGCCCACTACAACCAACACCACAACGCAACGACGATGACGATGAAGACGACAGGCGGTGAGGTAGCGACGGCGATAACCACACGGACAACCAAGACAACGACCACGACCACGACCACAACCACGGGCAAGACAACGACGACGGCGCAAACCAAGACGACGAGCTGCACGGAAGCGTGGGGGGGAGGGGGGAGGGGGGGAGGGAGGAGGAACGTGAGAGGAAGGAGGGAGAAGGAGGAACGACGAGGAGGAGGAAACGAGGAGGGAGGAGGGAGGACGAGGAGGAGGAGGACGAGGAGGAGGAGGAACAAGGGGGAGGGAAGAGGCGGAGAGGGAGGAAGGGAGAAAGAGAAAGACAGAGAGAGCGAGAGAGAGAGAGAGAGAGCGAGCGAGAGAGAGAGAGGAAGAAGCAACAAAAAAACGAGGGAGAGAGGGGGGGGGCCTCCGAGACCTCCCGCCCCATCCGCGGGCTGGGCGCCTCGCCCTCCTGGCCCTCCCGGGGGGGGGGGGGGGGGCCCGCGGCACTGGGGGGGGGCCCGCCGTGCGCTGCCTGCGGCGCACACGGAGGGGTCCTTGGGAGCACCTTCGGGGTGGACGTCGGCGGCGAGCGAGGAGGGGGGGAGGAGGGGAGGAGGAGGAGGAGGAGGAGGAGGAGGAGGAGGAGGAGGAGGAGGAGGACCGATCCAGGGGAGCGCGGCCGGTCGGCCGAGCGACGGCTGCCGGCAGGGCGGCAGGCGGGCGCCGCCCCCTTCTGAACGCGGCGGCGGCGGGCCCCGGGCGGGGCAGCCCTTCGGGGAGAGCGAGAAAGAGAGCGATGGGCCTGCATTCCACCACCACCACCACCCTAAGCGGGAGGGGCAGGGGGTCCTCCTCCTCCTCCTCCTCCTCCTCCTCCTCCTCCTGCTCCGCCTCCACCTCTTTCCCCCTTCCAACTCAGGGTGGTGGTGGTGGTGGAAAACAAGCCCATCAGAGAAGGCCTTATGTATCAGAAGGCGGTGGGACTCCTCAGAAGCCCTCGCGCCTTATGAGAGGTTATCCGTCTCTTCGGGGAGGGCGCGGAAAGCTTCCCAAAGGCCGGGGGGACTTCCGAGCCTTCTGAGAAGGCCTTTTCCTTCTCCATTCCCCCCCTCGCTCGCCGCCAGTGATTGGAGAGGACGCGCGAGGAGGACACAGGGCCCTCCCGAGGCTGCGCACAGGGGTCTTGGGAATACGGTCGGAGTTGATTGGAGGGGACACGCGAGAGATGACACGAGACCCCTCCGAGGGCCACATTGCCACAGGAATGCAAGACGCCCTGGGTCGCGAGATGCAGGAGACAGGGGTGCCCCCGAACTTGCAGGGTCGACCCAGCGGTCTGGGCCGACGGTACCCAAGGTGTGCCGCCGTGGGGGAACCCGCCGCCGTGCTACTGCTACTGCCCGCGGGTCCCGCGCCCTCGGGGAAAGACACGTTTTGCTGGTCGGTTGCCTCTGCTCTCTTGCAGAGCGAGGGGGGGCCACGAGCACGCTGCCGGATCCCAGATGGCGGCGCGTCCTTGAGACTCGCCCTGCCCCTCCCGAGGCCAGGGCCCGGGATCTCAAGGTCGCCCCCCCGGCGCCGCGTTCCTGCCCGCTGGCAACCCATGGGAGCCTCCCATACCGTCTTGCCGACCCCTGCGCTTCGACGCTCGTCGACGCTAAATCGACGCTGATCCACGCTAATCGGCGCTAATCGGCGCAACATCGAGGCTATCTCATCGACTCCCAGGCGCTGATCGGCGCTAGCTGGCGCTAACGACGGAGTTAAGAGGGTCTACCAGGCTCCCATGATTTGCGACCGGAAAATCGCCCCCCCCCCCCAGGCGCCCCATTCCTGGTCCTGGAGCACGCTGCGACCTGTTGCTCGCGCTGCGTCCAGCGGTGGCCACGAGGGCGGCCCAGGAGACCCGCGGAAACAAACGTAAACATCCCCTACCCCCGCCGACTCCCGGCCCCCTGCCGGAAGCCTCAACAACTCCTCCACCGCTTCCTCCTCCTCCCCCTCCTCCTCCACCTCCTCCTCCACCGCCTCCTCCTCCTCCTCCTCTTCCTCCTCCGCCTCCTCCTCCTCCTGCTCCTCCTCCACCTCCTCCCCCTCCTCCACCGCCTCCTCCTCCTCCTCTCCGCCTCCTCCTCCTCCATCTCCTCCTCCTTCTCCTCCTCCTCCTCCTGCTCCTCCTCCTCCTCCTGCGCCTCTTCCTCATCCTCCTTCGCCTCCTCCTCCTCCTCTTTCTCCTCCTCCTCCTCCTCTTCCTCCTCAGCTTCTTCCTCCTCCTACCACTTCCCAAGGGCCAAAGTTCCATCGCAGGTCGCTGGTAACCGCCCGTTGAACTTATTCACGCCCGTCGAGTTTCGGCCCACGACGCGTGGAGGTCCACGCCCTGGGAACCTCAAACATTAACCCGCAGACCTATCCCTAGAAGGGCCTGCCTCAACCAACTTTTCGAGCTGCACCCAGCAGTGACCACGATGGCGCCCCAGAACGCCTCTCACAAACAAAACACACCCGAAAAACAGTCAAACCGCGTGTTGAGAACGGGTGGTAAGGACGCAAGGCCCAGGGAGGCCGACGTTGGGACTTCTTGTGGCGGCGGGCGACCAGTGAGAATGGCAAGGGACGGGCCGCAGAGGCAAGGACACAAGAGGGTACCGTAGATGAAGGCGCGCGTCTTTTTTTCTGGCCGCGTTGACTGTACACGTCGTTCATTTCTAATCGTGCTCGATTCTAGTTGTGCTCGTTTCTAGTTGTTTCTTGCCACCTAGTGGCCAGGAAGAGGTCCAGGATAGAACAATTAGAAATGAAAGGACCTTGGTCCCCCAAAACATCAAAGAACCTTCGAAGAATTAGAAATGAACAATGTGTAACCATAGCTCCTTGTGGCCTGCATCTCGCGACGTCGAAGGTCTGGGCCCTTGGAGGCGGCCACGGGGTTCTGCACTCTGCACTGGAGGGGCACCGAGACAGTCGGCCAAGACGGGGGGACACGGGCAAATCCGCTCAACATCGGCACAGGCAAACTTGCTTGCGCAGGGCACGCGACAGGACCCCAAAAAGACTCTCCCGCCGGCGACATGGCCTCCCAGACCACGGGACACAGAGGCACCCTTGCCCCCGGGACTGCCAGAGGACACGACGCGCGACGTACAGGACACGAAAAATCCCTTGACTTGGCAGGGTCGACCTAGTAACCCAGACCCCCGACGTCATGATTTTTTCACGACGTCGACCCCCAAAGGTCCAGACCCCTTCCCCGGGACCGGTTTTGCATCCTGAGTCGTTTTTTGACGCTCCCGAGGCCCGGTGAGGGGCCCCAGAGGCCGAAAATTCGGAAAAACCTCCCGTCGTGATTTTTTCATGACTCGAGGGGGTCTGGGAATGCGGGCCGATTCTGCCCCGACCCCTCCCGGGGTCCGTCTGGTGGTGCACTTCACCCGGAGTCCGTCGTGGACGGCCCTGGGGCCCGACAACAGCCCCCGAAGACCGGAGGAGGCCAAAGACCATGCCGAACAGGAAGTCGGGCCGGTCCCCCTACAGGGGGGGGATTTTGGAGGAAAACTTAAAAATACACCAAAAATGCTCAAACGATGCCCACAAAGATTAAACTATCCCGGCAAAGCAACCTAACAGCGATGTGTAGAAGCATATCTGAAAGCATTCCCCTTAAGATTCAGATGAAAATCCAGTTGTCGAATTCTGCTGTTCTCGCAGTCGTAGTCGCATTCGCGATGACAGTCGCAGCGGCAACGGCAGTCGCAGTCACAGCCTCAGCCTCAGCCTGCCTCCTCCTCCTCCTCCTCTTCCTCTCCTGCTCCTCCTCCTCCTCCTCCTCCTCCTCCTCTTCCTCCTGCTCGTCCTCGTTCTCGTCCTCCTCGTCTTGCTCGTCCTCCTCCTCCTGGTGCTCTCTCCTCCTCCTCCTCCTCCTCCTCCTCCTCCTCCTCCTCCTGGTGGTCCTCGTTCTCCTCCTCCTGGTGCTCTCCCCCCCCCTCCTCCTCCTCGTCCTCCTCCTCCTCCTCCTCCTCGTCCTCCTCCTCCTCCTCCTCCTCCTCCTCCTCCTCCTCCTCCTCTTCCTCCCTGGTAGTCCTCCCCCTCCCCTCCTCCTCCTCCTCCCTCCTCTTCCTGGTCGTCCTCGTTCTCGTCCTCCTCGTCTTGCTCGTCCTCCTCCTCCTGGTGTTCTCTCCTCCTCCTCCTCCTCCTCCTCCCTCCTCCTCCTCCTCCTGGTGGTCCTCGTTCTCCTCCTCCTGGTACTCTCCCCCCCCCTCCTCCTCCTCCTCCTCGTCCTCGTCCTCCTCCTCCTCCTCCTCCTCTTCCTCCTCCTCCTCCTCCTCCTCCTCCTCCTCCTCATGGTACTCCTCCCCTCCCATCCTCCTCCTTCTCCTCTTCTGGTCGTCCTCTCCTGGTCGTCCTCCTCCTCCTGCTCGTCCTCCTCCTCCTCCTCCTGCTCGTCCTTCTTCTCCTGCTCCTCCTGCTCCTCGTCCTGCTCCTGCTCGTCCTCGTCCTCCTGGTCTTGCTCGTCCTCCTCCTCGTCGTGCTCTTGCCCCTGCTGAAAATGTGGCCCAGGAATGGGAGTTCTGGGAAGTCGAAGAGCACGAAGTTGCCTACAGTTGGCTACGGGCATTCAAAATGTGGCCCGGGAATGGAGTTCTGGGAACTCGAAGAGCACGAAGTGGCCTACAGTTGGCTCCGGGCATTCAAAATGTGGCCCGGGAATGGAGTTCTGGGAAATAGAAGAGCACGAAAGTGGCCTACAGTTGGCTCCGGCCCTCCAGAATGTGGCCCGGGAATGGCGTTCTGGGAACTCGAAGAGCACGAAGTGTGTGACTGTTGCATCCGGTTATTCTAGAATGTGGCCCGGGAATGGCGTTCTGGGAACTCGAAGAGCACGAAGTGTGTGACTGTTGCATCCGGTTATTCTAAATGTGGCCCGGGAATGGCGTTCTGGGATCTCGAAGAGCACGAAGTGTGTGACTGTTGCATCCGGGTATTGAGAATGTGGCCTGGGAATGGAGTTCTGGGAAGTCGAAGAGCACGAAGTGTGTGACTGTTGGTGAAAAACGAGCCCGGCACCTGCCGCCCGGCAACTCCCAACACCTGCCCGGACCCCCCTGTGGAGTGATCTGCTGCTCTCTTTTGATCCCACTAGAAACCTATCAGTCTTCGCTGTTAGGTAAAAAACAGTCCCCAGACTATTTCTGGACTATTTTTGAACACTCCCCCTGTAGAGGGACAGGCCCGACTTAACCCGAACACCCAGAACCTCGCCTTCATGCCTTCATGCTGGCCCGGACCATTGCTGGGCACCTCAGACCGCCAGCCGGCTCCAAGCTCCCTCCCTCCCTGGAGTCAAGAGGGCTCCCCTCCCCCAAAGACGACCACATGGAGATGTGTTCCGAATCGCGCTCCGCCGGCGAGGAGCCTCAAGGACAGACCAAGGATCCGGGCACGCGCTCACATGGACTGGAGTCAGGTCGGGAATGTCCTCCTACAGGCGGATTTTGGCAGATAAATGGACGCAGCAAGAAAAAATGCTCAAACATCGTCCCCTGATTACTTTTTACCCTTCTCTGTAGAGGGGCATGCCCGTACTTTGTTATGCGTTTAAAACATCTAGTTTTTGTTTCACTACTACGTTATATGTAAAACTATGATTTAATGAATTTCCTATTTATGTTTCACGAATTATGCTTTCAAAAGTATGATAATTTTACTTCTATGTTTGACTACTCCTTTTGTTCACTACTTCTATGTTTGCTTCTATGTGTTACTACTCATTGTTTGTACTACTTTACGGAATGTCTGTGAAATTTGGGGGCCGTGGCCAGCGTGCCGCTCCCCTCCGCAGGGCGTGGGGCCCGGAGAGACGCTCGGGGGACGCTGCTGGTGCTGCGGGGGGGGCCCTGCCGCGTGGGCCGCGTGGGCCGCGTCGGAGCTCCTCACGCCTCGCTCGTGGCAGCGCAGCGTGCGGCGTCGGCCGCGCCGAAGCGGAGCCAAGCTTCGCGTCGACGCGTGCGGCGTCGGCAGCGTGGGGAGGCAACTACTGGGAGGCTTGGTGTCGGAAGGATAGAAGAGGATTCAACCAGGAGTGGGCCTCGGATGCAGCGGGATTCAACGGGATTGAGCCGGAGTGAGCGGGACTAAACGGGATTGAGCCGGGCTTCGGACACGGGCAAAATCAGAATTTGACCTCCCAGGAGTTGCTCGGGCGTTGGCAGAACTGGGTTTAGTGGAACGGGGTTTAGTGATTTGTACTGGGGGCGCCCCCCCGTCCCACTTCCACTAACCGGAACTGCCGTCACCCGACTAAACACCAGTTGCGGCAAACCTGGTTTAGTGAATCTGGCCAATTGAGGGGCCCCAGGGCCCTACCACTAACCGGGTCCCCTGACCCGGGGTCTTGGCTATACCCGAGCTGCATCCGGAGGTAGCGTGTCGCGTGTCACGTCGCCAGCGTGGACCTGGCGCGGCGGGGCCAGCTCCATGGGATCGGGGAGTGCACCCCCGAAGCATGGGGCCAGCGCCGCGGCATCTGGCGACGCAGCGCGCCGGGCTCTCTCCGGAAGCAGGGCCGGCCGCGAATCCACGCGCCTCAAGATCCATGTGTGCGCTTCCTCGGATAACAAACGAAACACACACAAATACACACACCACAACCACCACTACCACCACCACCACCAACACCAACAACAACAACAACAATAATAACACGAAGAAGAAAACGAATAAAAATAATAATTACAACAACAACAACGACAACGACCACAACAACAACAACAACAGCAACAACAACAACACCACCACCACCACCAACAACAACAACAACAACAACAACCAACAACAACAACAACAACAACAGCAACAACAACAACAACACCACCAACAACAACAACACCACCAACACCAACACCAACAACAACAACAACAATCACAACAACAACAACAACACAGCAATAGAAGACGACGAACCCGACGCCGGACGACGACGACAAAGAAGGTCGAACACAGACCTCGTCGGCGTCGTCGCCGCCGACGGAGTCGGCGTCGGCGCGGGCGTCTCGCCGCCCCGCCCGGCGGCCTCGGCAGTCTCGTCGGAGCACTGCGGCCGCAGCCGCCGGGCGGCCTGGGCGAACTGGCGCCCGTCCATCCAGCGCTTGTACTTTGGGATCTCCACGGGACTGGCGAGGCCCCGAGCGCAGGGAGGGGGGCGCGGAGGGGGAAGGGCGATGGGGGAGGAGGGCGGGGATGAGGGGGGGGGGGGAATCAGGGGAGGAGGGGGATCGGGAGGAGGAGGAGGAGGAGGAAGAGGAGGAGGAGGAGGAGGAGGAGGAGGAGGAGGAGGAGGAGGAGGAGGGGGAAGAGGGCGAGGGCGCTGGGGAGGGCGAGGGGGCGGGTGGGAGGGGGCAGGGGGTCGAGGAGGAGGAAGAGGTGGATAAGGGCGAGGGAGGAGGTGGGAGGAGAAGGATCTGTGGGCCACTGGCGCTGCCACTCGGATGCTGCCAGGCAAGGGGAGGGAGGACGAGCATCGAAAATCAAGGGCGGAGAAGTCAGAGGGGAAGACGAGGAGCATCGAGGATCGAGGCTCTTGCCCCAGCAGTTTTAGGAGGCAATTACTGAGAGGTCGTCGTCGGAAGGACGAGGGAGAATTGAGCCCCATTGGGGGCCTACTACTGCGGATTAGGCCGCGGATTCGTCGGGATCGCGCCAGATTGAGCCAGATTTCGGACAAGGCAAAATCAGAATTTGACCTCCCAGGAGTTGCACCACTGAGGAATGCTCCCCTTGGAGTGGAAGGAGCTGTCTGGCGCCGGCGGGTCTTCGCCTGGTGGGCGCCAGCGGGCGCGTCGTGGGCGCCTCGTGCGCTGGCTGGGATCAACTCCTGCTTCTGCGGATGTTCCGCTCCCCTCCGCGTGTGTTGTCATACGTGCGCTGTGCTGCAATTCGTTCTAGCATGCGAAATCGCACCATGATGGCCAAACCAAGCTCGCTTCCACCTCTATCCTCATCCACTCGAAGAACACGGTGTTCACGAGTTGATCTCACAAATTGGGCTGTGCCACGATCCCGACCAAAGATATCCCACCCGGGCCACGCCTTCTCTGGCATGCTGGTCGACAGTCCATAAAAATTATTGGCCCAATCGTTATCCAGATATCTACACAGCCAGTTTCAGAATAAGGAGATCCCTGCGCGCGAATTCAGTGGAAGCATTGGAATTATATGCGTCATTGGCCATTCTGCCGAATAGACCATGCGGATTAAACGCGCGCGCACGTCGCAAACATCGAGAGAGCGCGCGCTTCCGCACGTCAGAAAATCGGAAGAATGCGCCTCAAGTTCGCAAGCCTGGGACAATTCACAGACGAGGGGGGGTCTCCGAAACCAGGGGGGGTCGCAAAGCATCGCGCACCTGTCGACGATCTGCGCGCATGAGACCACTAGAACACGGCAGCTTGTATACCCGGTCTGTCTCATGCGGGCCACAGGCGCGCGCATGCCGAAAACGTTCAACAACCACTCCCGCTCGCCAGCTCCGGCAAGCAACGCACTGCGGGTCACACAAGGCCGTCTCTGCGCGCGCGCGTCGAAATGCATTCAGAACAAGGGATGCCTAGCGAACCTCTTCCGGTAAAAGCTAGGCGGGCTACGCACAGCTCGAATTGGGGAGACAGGGCACAGGCGGGCGGGGCCTCAGGCGGCCGGAGGGCGGGCCAGGGTGCAGGCGGTGCCGAGGAGCTTGCACAGCAAAGGAACGCCTTGGACAGGAGCCGGAGGCGAAGATCCGGAGGGTGAGCGGTGTGGTGTTGCCGTCAACGGCGCGCCGTAAACACAAAGAGGTGTTCGAACACGTGCGAGAACCAAATCGCTGTGGAGCAGAGTCGGTCACGATATGTAAAACTCCTGCGGGCGTGCACTGTCCCATCATCCGCATCACTCGTGATCGTCATCGGCGGCGGCATCACTGCTATCAGAAACACCATCACACTCGTCGTCATCACTGCCGCCGCCCTCCTCCTCCTCCTCCTCCTCCTCCTCCTCCTCCTCCTCCTCCTCATGATCATCGTCGTTGATGTCGTCGCCCTCGTCAGAATTCTGCGCGCGCTCCCTTAGCATCCTTACCAGCACCTTGGTCATCAATATCGCACGACTCATCGTTGCCACAAGTTTTATCATCGCTATCAGTTCCATCGGCATCACAAAAGTCGTCGTCGTCGTCGACATGGCCCCTACCGTCGTCGTCCCTATGAAGAGGGAACCTGAAAGGAGGGTGTGTTGTAACATCCGCCGCTCTGCGGTTGATCGGGAGTTTCTGTATATATAGAAGAAGGGGCGCGCGCTTCTGGGCGAGAGGGAAACGACCGAGAGAAGAAGGGGCGGCCGCCCCACAGGACCTCTCCATGGTGCCGGAAGCCCATCAGGGCTCCCTCAGGGCCCCTCCCCCAGGGCCGGGGCTCCCTCGCCTGCCCCCTCCCCCTCCCCCTCCTCCTCCTCCTCCTCCTCCTCCTCCTCCTCCTCCTCCTCCTCCTCCTCCTCCTCCTCCTCGCCCCCGTCGGCATATCCAGGCGTGTTATGCAGTCAGGTCGTCCGTCCGGAAACGGTGCCGGAGGCCGCTCTGGGCTCCTCTGGGCATCCCCCCCGGGGCCCGTTTTGTGAGGATGTCTCAGGCGAGGGCGCCGGTTTGGGATTCGTCACCGGATCCAGCGGATCCAGCGGATCCGTCCGGAAACGGTGCCGGAGGCCGCTCTGGGCTCCTCTGGGCATCCCCCCCGGGGCCCGTTTTGTGAGGATGTCTCAGGCGAGGGCGCCGGTTTGGGATTCGTCACCGGATCCAGCGGATCCAGCGGATCCGTCCGGAAACGGTGCCGGAGGCCGCTCTGGGCTCCTCTGGGCATCCCCCCCGGGGCCCGTTTTGTGAGGATGTCTCAGGCGAGGGCGCCGGTTTGGGATTCGTCACCGGATCCAGCGGATCCAGCGGATCCAGCGGATCCGTCCGGAAACGGTGCCGGAGGCCGCTCTGGGCTCCTCTGGGCATCCCCCCCGGGGCCCGTTTTGTGAGGATGTCTCAGGCGAGGGCGCCGGTTTGGGATTCGTCACCGGATCCAGCGGATCCAGCGGATCCAGCGGATCCGTCCGGAAACGGTGCCGGAGGCCGCTCTGGGCTCCTCTGGGCATCCCCCCCGGGGCCCGTTTTGTGAGGATGTCTCAGGCGAGGGCGCCGGTTTGGGATTCGTCACCGGATCCAGCGGATCCAGCGGATCCGTCCGGAAACGGTGCCGGAGGCCGCTCTGGGCTCCTCTGGGCATCCCCCCCGGGGCCCGTTTTGTGAGGATGTCTCAGGCGAGGGCGCTGGTTTGGGATTCGTCACCGGATCCAGCGGATCCAGCGGATCCGTCCGGAAACGGTGCCGGAGGCCGCTCTGGGCTCCTCTGGGCATCCCCCCCGGGGCCCGTTTTGTGAGGATGTCTCAGGCGAGGGCGCCGGTTTGGGATTCGTCACCGGATCCAGCGGATCCAGCGGATCCAGCGGATCCGTCCGGAAACGGTGCCGGAGGCCGCTCTGGGCTCCTCTGGGCATCCCCCCCGGGGCCCGTTTTGTGAGGATGTCTCAGGCGAGGGCGCCGGTTTGGGATTCGTCACCGGATCCAGCGGATCCAGCGGATCCCGTCCGGAAACGGTGCCGGAGGCCGCTCTGGGCTCCTCTGGGCATCCCCCCCGGGGCCCGTTTTGTGAGGATGTCTCAGGCGAGGGCGCCGGTTTGGGATTCGTCACCGGATCCAGCGGATCCAGCGGATCCGTCCGTCCGGAAACGGTGCCGGAGGCCGCTCTGGGCTCCTCTGGGCATCCCCCCCGGGGCCCGTTTTGTGAGGATGTCTCAGGCGAGGGCGCTGGTTTGGGATTCGTCACCGGATCCAGCGGATCCAGCGGATCCGTCCGGAAACGGTGCCGGAGGCCGCTCTGGGCTCGTGCTCTTCGCGCCGGGGGTGAGGATGACGTGAGTTCCACAGAAACTCCCTCAAAACATCGTTGATGCGCTCTGGGTCTACACTGGTCCTCCTCCTCCTCCTCCTCGTCCTCCTCCTCTTCCTCCTCCTACTTCTCCTCCTCCTCCTCCTCATACTTCTCCTCCTCCTCTTCCTCCTCCTCTCCTCCTCCTAATGCACCCCTCCCTCACCATCCCTCCTCGTCCTGGTCGGCCTCCTTCCCCCTCCGCCCCCTCCTCCTCCTGCTTCCCCTGTCCTGCCCCCCCCGCGCGCTTCGCTTCGGTCACGGGGATGGGCTCGAAGCTGGTCATGTCCCAGACTCCTGGCATCGGAGGGCCAAGGAACCACGAGGCGGGGGAACCGGGAATGGAGGAGGTGTAGGAGGAGGAGGAGGAGGAGGAGGAGGGAGAGGAGGAGGAGGAGGAGGAGGAGGAGGAGGAGGAGGAGGAGGGAAAGGAGGAGGAGGAGGAGGGAAAGGAGGAGGAGGAGGAGGAGGAGGAGGAGGAGGAGGCAGGAGACAACGGGTAAGGAGAGGTGGAAGGCGAGAGGAGCGATTCGGCGATCGGGCGATGAGGGGGCCCGGAGGGGGGCTCCCCCCCGACACGCGGAAGCTTCGACAACATGCAGTGATCGAAGGAGCTCTGGCCTGCGCGGGATGGCGGGGTGGGCGGGGAGGGGGAAGTGAACAAGCAGTGCGGGTGAGGAGTAGGGGAGGAGTGGGAGGGGGTGGGCAGAAGCACTCGTCCTCCCTTTCCCCCCCCCTCCCCTCTCTCCTCCCGGTGGAGGTGGTGTGGAGGCTGGCCCCCCCTCTGCTCCAGAAGAGCCTCGCGGTCCGGGGCAGCCGCCCTGGTGCTGAAGCGCTACCCCCCTCTTCCCCTCTGCCTCCCCCTTATTCTACACTTCTCGTCGGGCCTCCTCCCCCCGCCCCTGACAGTCAAAGGCAAACGATCAGAAGCCTCAAACACACACTGCAGTGAGACCATTTTTTCCCGCTCTGGACAGGGCGAGACCCGAGAAGCACCCACAGGCAGAATCGCAGGAGCGGTCCAGGGACGCCGAGCCCCCTGCGTGCAAAAGGAGTCTCTTGCGTCGACGCTTCGACTGTGAGAGGTCTACCTGCTGCCTGCAGACCGCAGGACCCCCCGAGGGTGATAGTTACGCGGGGACCAGCTCAGGGTGGGAAGCATCGAACCTGAATCGGCGGAACATCGCCGATGGATCGGCAGGCATCGCCGATGGCAACTCCGCACGTGCATTGGACGGAATGGGCGGTCGGGCCCCCATCGGCGGTGAATGGGCGATCTTGGGGTCCCCTAACGTTGCCCCTGACCCCCTGGAAGGCGTTCGACAGCAAGTTTCTTGCGTGACGACGTCGGCCCATCTTTCTGCCACCGCGAGCACTGCTTCACCTTGAACTGTCTATTAATCCATGGGTTAATATGTATATGTGTTTATATATATATATATATATATATATATACACAGATTCCTCTTCCTATATTTTTGCAAGCCCGGGCGGGGCGACAACCCGTCCCCCCCCCCCCCCAAAAAAAAACGAACTCCTGGGATCTGGGGCTTTGGGATTCTCCAGACGGGCCTCGGAGCGGCCCCGAGGCCTCGCAGGGCGTTTTGCCAAGCCTTCCCAGCACACCTAGGGCGATCAGGGGGGTCATCGGAGACGTCCCAGAGACCCCCAAGACAGAACAAGAGCGCTCCAACAGTGACCGACGTGACCTCAAGATGGCCCAAGAGGCCTCCAGGACGGCTCCAGAGAGGCCTCCAAGAGCACTCCCAAGAAGGCCCCCCGAGGCAAAAATCATTGATTCTCTTTTGGTTTTTGGTGACGTCTGCGGTTCTCCTCTATTCGGCTTCCCGACGCTCCAAGACGGCGGTCTTCTGGGCGTTCGAAGCCGCCTGGGGGGCTCCAAAATCGCCCCACAACCATCCGAAAGGGCTTCCAGGCAGTCCAGAGAGCCCCATGGCGGCCCAAGATGGCCCAAAGACACCCTCCGAAGCATTCCGAATCGTGACCCGGTCGTTCAGGGAGACCGCGATTGGAGGCAGGGTGGCCCGAGGAAGCCCCCGGAGGCCCCCAGAATACGCCCAGGAGGCCTCCATAAGGCCTTAATTAAGAAAGCCTGAAACAACTTTTGTGAGGCCCCCAGAGGCTCTCCAAGGAGGAGCCTCCGCAAAAAAGAGCTGAGGAGGATGGGGAGTGTGCGCAGGGTATGGCAAACATAAGGAAACAGAAGCATGGAGAAAGGATAACGAATGACATGTTTATAGCGGCGATGCCGGAAAAGGCAACAAAAAATTATCGCTAAATTGTCGGCTTGACCTTCCTGCTATTTCACCGGCATACCAAACTTCAAGGACCAAGGTGCATGGCGAAAAGCGCCACTGCAGTCTTGTATCTATCGATATATACATATATATATAGAGAGAGAGAGAGAGAGAGAGAGAGAGAGAGATCCGGGAGGTCCCGCAAGACCCTCGAGGAAACGGAGGAGGAGAAGGATGACGATGGGGTGGCACTCAGACTTCGGGCGGAGGCCTGAGCCAGGAGCCCACCTACCTGTGGAGGTACCTCAGGAGACACGAGCGGGGAAGCAGACTGGACACATCGACTCACCTGTGCATGCCCCCTGCCACGGCAGACACGTGCGGCAGCAGGCTCGGCCATGGGAAGTGTTCGGACATCGTCTCGTCGATCTGCAGCTCCGCTGCGGGTTCCCAGGGCCGTGCGTAGTGACAGGTGTGCGAGGAGAGAGCCTGCTGGAAGGCAGAGGCGCCTTCCTCTCCGCTTCGACAGCTCGCAACGCAGAGGGAGGGCCAACGCAGATGCCTGGGCTCCCAGGTCCCTCACGAAACAAAAGGCTCCCAGACCCTCTGGCGCCCCCGGTCTGAGGCCTGGACCTCTCGGGGAATCCGGAGCCAGGGCCTCTTCGGAAGAGGGGGGGGGGCCCATGGCCGCCGCACACGCGGGGCGCCAGTGACGCTGTGCACGCAGTAGACGGAGATGCCGAGAGGCGCGGGCTTGCTTTTCTGCCGCTGAATGCGCCGCCTTCCCCGAACCGCGCAATGCCACCGTGGCAGCGCCACAGGCGCATAAGCGCGTGCCTGGCGGCGCCAAGCAGCGAATTCTTGGCCAGTGCCCCCTACTCCTAAAGTCGCGCTGAACGCTGCGCCTCTCGGGCTGGGCGAAAGGGGGGGATAGCAAGGGGGAGTTTGAGAATCAGCTCACGCAGCTGATTTTCCGGCCGCCTCCCGGCGCCAGATGCGACCATGTATCGAGGAATGGGCCCCTCGGTGGGGCTGAAACCAGCTGCACGCAGCAGATTTCGTAACCCCCGGAAGCCCCCAGAATACGCCCAGGAGGCCTCAAATAAGGCCTTAATTAAGAAAGCCTGAAACAACTTTTGTGAGGCCCCCAGAGGCTCTCCAAGGAGGAGCCTCCGCAAAAAAGAGCTGAGGAGGATGGGGAGTGTGCGCAGGGTATGGCGAAAATAAGGAAACAGAAGCATGGAGAAAGGATAACGAATGACATGTTTATAGCGGCGATGCCGGGAAAGGCAACAAGGAATTATCGCTAAATTGTCGGCTTGACCTTCCTGCTATTTCGCCGGCATACCAAACTTCAAGGACCAAGGTGCATGGCGAAAAGCGCCACTGCAATCTTGTATATACATATATATATATATATATATATATATATGTATATCCCGGAGGTCCCGCAAGACCCTGGCGGAAACGGAGGAGGATGAGGAGGAGGATGAGGAGGAGGAGGAGGAGGAGGACGATGGGGTGGCACTCAGACTTCGGACGGAGGCCTGAGCCAGGAGCCCACCTGCCTGCGGAGGTACTTCAGGAGACACGAGCGGGGAAGCAAACCAGACACATCGACTCCCATGTGCACGCCCCCTGCCACGGCAGAAACACGCGGCAGCAGGCTCAGTCAATGGGAAGTGCTCGGACGTAGTCTCGTCGATCTGCAGCTCCGCTGCGGGTTCCCGGGGCCGTGAGTAAGGACGGATGTGCGAGGAGAGAGCCTGCTGGAAGGCAGGCGCCTTCCTCTCGACTTCGACAGCTCGCAAAGCAGACGGAGGGCCAACGCAGATGCCTGTGCTCCCAGGCCCCTCACGAAACAAGAGGCTCCCAGACCCTCTGGCGCTCCTGGTCCGAGGCCTGGACCTCCTGGGGAATCCGGAGCCAGGGCCTCTTCGGAAGAGGGGGGGGGGCCTAGGGCCGCCGCACACGCGGGGCGCCAGTGACGCTGCGCACGCAATAGACGGAGATTAAACAGGGCTGGGATCGGGATAAATCGCTCCAGAGCGTTGCGGAGCGCTCTCAGAGCGTTCCGGAACGCTCTGGAGCGGCCGCAGCGCCCAATACATCCTCCAAACCCGCCGATTCTCACGGATTTCGAGTTATCCCGGTCCGATTTTGTCCCGATCTTCGCGTCGTTTTGGAGATGCCGAAAGGCGCGGGTTTGCTTTTCTGCCGCTGAATGCGCCGCCCTCCCCCGAACCGCGCAATGCCACCGTGGCAGCGCCACAGGCGCATAAGCGCGTGCCTGGCGGCGCCAAGCAGCGAATTCTTGGCCAGTGCCCCCTACTCCCCTCCTCCCTCCTCCCCCTCCTCCTCCTCCTCCTCCTCCTCCTCCTCCTCCTCCTCCTCCTTCTCCTCCTCCTACTCATAACGTCGCGCTGAACGCTGCGCCTCTCGGGCTGGGCGAAAGGGGGGGATAGCAAAGGGGGAGTTGGAGAATCAGCTCGCGCAGCTGATTTTCCTGGCGCCTCCCGGCGCCGGATGTGACCATGTATCAAAGAATGGGCCCCTCGGTGGGGCTGAAACCAGCTGCACGCAGCAGATTTCGTAACCCCCGCTCTGCCTATCCCCCCCTTTCGCCCGGCCCGAGCCTCTGGAGTGCCGCCGCGAAAGCAAATCATCGTAAAACATAAAAACAGCAATGCCGCCGTGGCAGCGCCACAAGCGCATAAGCAGAAAGATGACTGCCTCGTCAAGAGAGAAGCTACGGTCAAGAACTGCTGCTTTCGGTGTCGCGGCCCTGGCGACACGGTATGCCTTGGAAACGGATAGCGCGTCGCTCCGCTTCGCGGGGCGGGGGGCTGGGGAAATCTAGGAGCGTTGATGCGTGGAAGCTGGGACTGTGACGCGGGTGGTGTGTGTCGCGCCGAAGCGTGGTGGGCCAGCACCAGCGGCGCGACGCTCCAAGCAGACGTCCCGACCGCAGACCGGCAGGCCAGCCCTAGCCTGGGAGCCTGGAAGACGTGGCCCGCCCGGCCCCCATGAGCGGAGAGAGCCCCTGCAGCCTCGCGTCCGCGGAGCGCGACCGCCTGCTGGATTGGCGGTCGCGGTCCGCGGAGCCTCTCGTGCGCAGGAAGGTGTTGTGCACAAAGACTGCGTCTGTGCGCTGCGGCGGCGCGCCAAGGCAAACGACTGCAGCACCGTCGAGCAGCTGAGGGCGCGCATGCACCGGCCGCTTCGGCAAGACCCATGCCAAGACAGCCGCATCGTCCAAAAACGTGACCTCAATCACCTCTGTGGCTTCGCGCCTCTCGAATGCTTCAGTGACCCTTCGGAAACGAGTGCCATCATAGATGCGCCGCCGGTCTTGGAGCAGGTCCTGAGCTGTGACGTCCACAAGATCACCACTGGGCCCTTCTACAAGCAGAGGGTGGTCTTTGGTCACCTGGAACGGGTAGCTGTTCGGCTCCGTTTTCAAGTAAACGATGTCCCTTTCCACATTTGGGTGCCTTGTGGCCCGCAGGACCTGAACTTCTGCGCCGCCGACACCCCGAACGACATCACCACCTGATGCACGTAATTGGGATGCGGTGATGCGTCGCTGAAAGCACCCTGGACCTGCGGGCATGAACGACGTCCGAGGGAGGAAGCAGCGTGGCGCAGTGCTGCGAGCTGGGGCCGAGGCCAAAGAGATCCGCCACCGTGCGGCAGGCATTGAGTAGAGCAGCCTCATGTCCGAAGCCCTCATAACATTGCACACATGGTCTCCTTGAAGGCCCCAGGCACACATTCCGAGGCGCTCCTAGTCGTGCCGGGGAATCGCTGCGTGGCCCCTCGCGCGAGCAGGAAGCGTCGTTGGGGACCTGGGCTTCCGACATGCCGAATGATGCTCCCATGGGCTCGTCCTGGAGCTGCCCTGTGGATCTGGTGAGCCGAAGAAGCCCGATCATCAACACAAACAATCAACGTTTTTGCTACGTTCGCATGCTCGGCGTTTCTGTTCGAGTGCCGCCACAAACGGCCCAAGAGCCCTCGAGAAGCCTCCCAAAGGGATCAAAACGCCCACAAGAGGCTTCCAAGTGCCCTCCAAAAAACATGCCCATAAAAACCCAGCAGGCGTCCCGAAAGCCTCTGCTCCACATGCTAGGCACGGTGGCGGTATGGGCCGACGGGCGCTAGGGCCGCCGCCCGAGTGGTGCTTGGAGTACAAACATACAAAATATTCTGAGACCTTCCAAAACGGCTCGAAGCAACCCCCAAGGTTGTGTCAAGACGGCCCAGAAGTGGCCAAAAGGATCCCAAGACGGCCCAAGAGAGCCCCAAGACGGTCCTGAAAGCTCCCAAGAAGTCCCCAAGACGGCCAGGAAAGGCCCACCAAACGGCCTCAGGAGACGCCAGACGACCCAGCAGCGCCCAAAGACGGCCCAGGTGTGCCCCGAAATAGCCCCGGAAGGGCAAGGCCCCCGAGAAGGCCCTGAATACGTATCTGGACATGGCCCTAGGACAGCGTCCAAGACGGCCCCAGAGGGCTTCTTCCCCTATGCTTCCTCAGTGGTTTCCCGGCAGCTCGGGTAACACTCGGCCCACTGGCATCACCGCACATAGACCCGGCACTTCACCACGCAAGCGCTTCTAGAATGAGGGGGTCCGCGGTGATTCGCTAGAGGCGACTTCGATGATGCTCGCGCCGCTCTTTGACATGCCCCCCACGGATACGAAGGAACCCTCTGCGGCGTCGCCCTGACCCGATCTCGAGCAGCTTGCTGTTCGCGGCCGTCTACGTGAGGGTCCCCTCGGCAGCCTGCGCTTGACCGCCAAGGGGCGCTGTCCCTACTCAGAGGGCATGTCTGGATGGGATCCGACGTGGGCCGAGCCTGCAGGACCTGATTTGCCAACCTTCATCCAGTCCGCCTGGGAAACCGAATCGTCGGGGCCGATGGCGGTGCTGCCTCCGTCGCGTGCAGCGACAGGCGTCCACAAGCTCGCGTCCCACTTTTCTTGGGCACTTTCCCCGTACCAAGATACGAACTGCTCGAAAGTGTAGTACCTCCCATCGCTGGCCATCCGCTGCTCATGGAATTCTGGCGCTTTCGCGCGCGCTGGCGTCATCGCCGCTGCCTGGCCGCTCTCGAAATCGGAAGGCCACACCGTATCCTCCTTCACGCTGTCTGGAAGTGGAGCTACCGAGGGGGAATATGGTCCAACCTTTAATACGTTGTGGATGAGGTCGTAACGATCCTTGCCCATCCACGTGCGGATCGAGAAGTTCGGCGAGAAGTAGTTGTTCAGGGCGAGCCAGACAATGTACTCATCAATGGCCATACTCATGATGAAAAGCTTCTTGCCAACCTGGCGCATGCAGTCTTGCTTCCTGGATGCGCGATTGAAATGTATCTGGCGGTACGAGGTGATTGCATAATCCAAGTCATCGATCGTGGCCCGAACACCGCGAAGCATGTCGACATTGTGGTCCAAGAACGATGTCTGGATCGAGAGCGCCTTGGCCTTCCATGCGTCTCGAGACGACGCGTTGTCCTCCTCCTTGGTGAAAATGCGTCCCGCTATAAGCAATACTACAGTAACGAGGCAGGGAACGATAACAATGCCATCCAATCGAAACATGCTAGAAGCAACCGTGATTTCCGTCGCAGGAAATACTTCGAAGGCAGACACGTCCTTTGGGAACTCCGTGTGCATCCATTCTTCGAAACTGAACTTCCACCCGCTTCTGTCAAAGTGCTGATACAGTTGCACGCGGCAGCCCTTACCCTTGACCCAGACAGCCCGAAGGTTGTCATTTGCCATTCTAAGACCCTTCAAACCGTTCTGGTCCCCGCCGACGGAATACTTGCCAGGACCGACCAACAGAATGGCGGACCGTTTTGCCAGGACTCCCACGCTGCACTCAGAGTGGTGGACCGCGGTGGTGTCGTGCTTTGCGGAGAAATACTGGTGACAAAGAAGTCCAAGGAAAAACATTGACGCTGCCACAATATGCCAAGCAAGATCCGACACTCCTCTTGGAGAGGACTGGCAAGCTGTGCGGGGTGAGATCGGCTCACTGCAGGATCACAGCCCTGTCGTAGAAAACCCGGAACAACTCTACTCTGTGTCCCTCAATAGTTTTGGGGCCCCGGACTACAGGTACCCCCCGGACTACAAGTACCCCTTCCCCGGACTACAAGTACCCTCCACCCCAGACTACAGGTACCCCCCCCCCCGGACTACTCCCCCCCGGACTACAGGTCCCCCCCCCCCGACTACAGGTACCCCCCTAGCCCCCGGAACTACAAGCCCCCCCTCATGCAATATCTAGAACTGTATCATTGTCATGATACACAGTGTCTGTGCGTGCGCGCGTGTACGTGCGTGTGTGCTTGCGTGTGCGTGTGTGCGGTTCCGTGCGCTTGCGTGCGCGCGTGCGCGCGTGCGTGTGAGTCTGTGCGTGCATGCGCGCGTGCGCGCGGGTGTGTCGTGTGCAACGATGCGCGTGAGGTCCTGCGCGCGTAAGTACTAAACACCCGCGTGCGTGGAATCACGCGTGCTTTGAGGCATGACCATATGCCGCCCCCCCCCCCGGACTAGAAGTACCCCCATGCGCGCCCCCCCCGGACTACAGGTACACCCCCCGGACTACAGGCCCCCCCCCCGGACTACAAGTACCCCCCCCCAGACTACAGGTACCCCCCCCTGGACTACAAGTACCCCCCCCCCCGGACTATAGGTACCCCCCCCGGACTACAGGTACCCCCAAAACTATTGAGGGACACAGAGTTTACTGTTACGATACGGGGCCACGATGGGGCCCTAACCAGCTTTATCCTGTTACGGTGGCGGCCACGATTGGGGGTCACGACGAAGGGGGCTCAGAATATAGTGATAGGGACATGTAGAAATCCACCGATCCGGCGTGTGAGTTTCTGAGAGCGTGGGCTTGAGCTTGCTCAAGCTTCGCCCTGCGAGGGGGGGATCCCTATTTAACTGATGGGTTCTGTGCTTGGCACCTGCCCTCCCCTGCTAGCCCCTTCCCCTCCGGTTCCAGGGGGGGGGCAGGGGGGGAAGGGGACAGGAGAGAGGGGGGGGGACAGGAGAGGGGGGGTTGGGGGAAAGGAAAGAGGGGGGAGGGGGACAGGAGAGGGAGGGGGGGGACAGGAGAGAGGGGGTGGGGAACAGGAGAGAGAGAGAGAGAGGGGGAGGGGGCAGGAGAGAGGGAGGGGGGGGGGGAGAGGAGGGGGGAACAGGAGAGAGGGGGGGGACAGGAGAGAGGGAGGGGGGGGAAGGATAGAAGGGGGGGGGAAGGAGAGGGGGGGGACAGGAGAGAGGGGGGGGGAGGGGGTCTCGTGTCGCTCTCGACGGGGTTACTCGCCAGAGTTCTTGAAATAGTCGATGACAAAGAAATCAACTTCAAATAAACGAATGTCGGAAATGAGAGTGACTCTTTTCCTCGTGGCTAGCGCCAGGGGCTGGTTCACCTGCCGAATCAAACTACAAATCGATATGGAAACCGCGCACAGAAAGCTCGAGCACTAAATAGAAGTACGGAAAACGGGTCCCCGGCAAGCCTTCAAGGCAACCTCCGAAATCTCGTTCCGAAACCCGGTTTCTACGACACGGGGGGGTTAGTGCTCCCCTCAGCGCATCGCAAACACTTCTAAACCAGATACTAGGCGACAGGGCACAGATGAGGCAGAAGCGGCAAAAAAGGAATGCTCACCTTGACTCACGTTCATCATCCTCTTGATCTCTCCCTGTTCATCTGAGAAAAGTTGCTCTCGGCATCTGAATCACGAAAGTCTGGAACCACCGGAGGCCTCTCCGAACTCTCGAGAACATCGAGGGTGTCCTTCTTGAGAATCCGCCTCTCCTTGGCTGAGGTGAAGCTCGGATCCTGCACCAAAGCCCACTGCTGCTTGACGTAGAAGTTGAGCGTGACCTGCAGGGCTGGCCTCTCCATCTTAGTCAGGCCGTCGGCAATCATTGCCTCGGAATGCACCCAGCGCAGCGTAGTGTTGGCGGCCTTCGTGCTCTGTTTCAGCGCTAGTGCCTCGATCGCCGACCTCTGGTCGTTGCATCCGTAGCCCGAAGAACACGCCCGAACCACACTGTCGTACATCGCCTTGCAGTCCGTCACCAGGGTACCGTCCACGAGCTTCAGGCTGTCGTTGATCTGGTGATAGGTGGTCGCCTTCCCGGTCGGCATCTCGTGCCAGGCCAGTCTCGCGTACTCCTGAGCCTCGTTGGCCACTGTGCCCATCTGGATCTCGGCGCTCAGAGAACTTCGGGGTGTCACGGGGTAGTGCTGTCTTGTGGCCATCCAAGATCTTGCGCTCAGCCATTGCCACGATCTTGCGACATTGAGAACCCCCAGCTTTGCGAACTTTCCAGGCTGCATCGTGCCAGGTGACAAAGATCGGGTCCTCCATGGGTGTGATCTTGATGTTGATCCAAGCGGTCTCGTGAGCTGTGTGAATGATCTTGTTGATCTTCTTGATGGTGGCCATGGTTCCGGTAAGAACTTCACCTCCTGGGATACTCGTCTCTCCAGCTAGCCATGCCATCCC